TAATCTAAATAATCATCAATTTTTAATGATATATTTCGGTTAATGATATATTTCGCGGAGCAGCGCAATACTTTTTTTTGTCAAATCTTTATTTTTACGCAAAAACACATTAATTCAGTGTATTTTTATCAAAATTTGAGATAAACGAGATCTTCTTAACATTAATTATCACCTGCAGTACTCTAGAAAAAATACAGATAGTTCTATAAAATTGTAAAATCCGTTTTTCAACTCCGGCTGTGGTCCAAAATTCACTGTCAACGCTGAAAATCTATTAATGTTTCGTGTACTGTACATTTTCAGCATTTTTAATAGTAAATTTTAGAACACATCATAAGCCCCGGGAAAAAATGTTTTATACATAATTATATAAAATTTTATTTACATTAAAAAATTATATATAAATATATGTAATTATATGTGTAAAACATATACATGTAAAAATTATATATGTATTTTCAAGAGACACTAGTAAGATTAAGGTAAGTAACAACATAATATAATTTTATTATTTATTAGTACATTTATTTATACACATGATTGGCGAAATAATTAGAAAGAAAGTTGTGGAAGAAGATACATGTTATAGATTTTAATTATAAAAGAAACACTTGAACGGCTGTGAATTGGAAAGATTACAAAAGCCATTAGGTCTTAAACTTATGCGCTCTAGTGTTACGTGTCTGAACTGTCTTAATTTCATTACTTGATTCGTTGCTTGATTTAATCGATATTTTGTAATTTTAATGCGACTAATATGCATAATTTCTGCCATTATTCCGGCTACATGGGACGGATAGAAAAAATTTTTACGGAATGGAATGACATATTCAGCTAAGTTGATTGAATCTAAAAATTGAAACAAATATTCAGAAATTTTTTTTGTAAATCTGCAATAGATAGATGAAAAATTAATTATTTCTAATGTTAAAATTATTGCGAAAAGCAAGAAATGTGCCAAGTATTCCGGTATTTAAGAGTATGCAAGAATTTTATTTCTTATAACTTTCTATTGCAATAACGGAAATATACAAAAAAACGAAAATTCTGGATACAATTAATGTTTACACAAAGAATCGTCTTCAAGGCGCAAGTGACAATTTAATTGTTAGAATGCAAACGATTGATCGTGAGAAATTCTTCAATTATTTCAGAATGACATCGGAATTATTTGAAGAACTATTGGCATTAGTTGAATTACGTATATGTAAAACAAGAGTATATCGTATTAAAAAATAAAAATTATTATTAATTTTTTTCTTCAAAGTTGTCAAATTCTCAACCATCGACAATAGCTGGATTGACATAACCTGCAATTGACATGACATTCCGTTGATTCCGTATCGTCTCTATACCGTTCCGGCCATGATTCCGATACAGTAGAGAAACTTCTTAAGCTTAAACATAATAAACACAGACAACAGGGAATAACGAGCTATTCAATTAGAGCTCTGATGTATAAGTTCGATATCCCAGACCTCTGATTGGACAACTTGCTTGTGCCTATTCTCTATGCCTATTGTGCTTAAGGACCACTTTCACAAACTCCGATTAAACTTAGGCTGCAATCCGTTTCAGATAAAGTGCGCATGATCTATCATTTATCCTTGTTTAACATTTGATGAATAATAAAGATAAATAAAGCGCATCACGCGTGAAACGGAACGCAGCCTTAAGGTCTAATAACTTTACAGAATTCCAACTGAAGTTAATGCGAGAAAAAATGCAAAGAGAGAAGTTATAAATATAGATTTGTAATACTAATGTACAAGTTTTCTCTCTGGTAGCTATTTGTTAAGAACCTATATAATATTTTTGTGTTCAAATATAGTATATAAAATTACAATTAATTAATAAAATATAAATTTAATTCTTCAGTTCACATTTTTTCTTCGACATCAGCTTCAGTTAGAATCCTACAAAGTTGCTAGGCCGATTAAGTTAATCGGAGTTTGATGAAAATGGCCCTAAGCTTTACAGAACAGAATGGCTGTTTTTTTCCAGTTAGGAAAATTAGAAACATTACACTTTGTTCCACTGTATAAAATATTTGTTGAAATGCAGTTTAGTTTCATAATGTAACACCATGCATTGCGAGCTTCTATTCTTTTTATAATTATATTTAGTGTATCGATAATAGATATATGATTTTTATTTAGACTTAAGTTATAATTTTTTCAGAATTGATAATTTGTGAAGGTTTTATTGCAAAATAAGTACGGCTACCATATAACTTTTGAAAAGTTGGTAACATATATTTTATACGCTCGTACTTAGCTTTTTACTGTGTCGAGCAGTGTAACACTGTGTTATAGTTTGTAACATTAGGTTATAGTTGAAACACTTTGTGCAATGCATGGTCTATAATGGACAGTAACAGTAGTGAATGAAAGAATAGGCGTGGAAATCAACCAATCATAGTTGAATGTGAGAAAAATAATCAACTATGATTGGTCAATTTCTACGCTTACTCCTTAATCAACTATTGTTATTGGCCATGGTAGATCATGCATAAGACACAGGTAATACAGTGTTACATGTATTACCTGTGTACGTTGTTGGAAAACATCCAATGCTAGTAAACATTTCTAGTAAGAAATCTGTTCATGTTATTTCGATTCCGTATACATGGGACAGCACCCTGGAATGCAAATCCATGCAGCGGAATAGCGGAACGCGGAACGAAAGCAATACCAATCACGAGCGTTTTTTTCCCAGTTTTCGTTACGCAGTTTCGAATCTCTTTCCATGGAGCGCAAAAAGCATAAGCGGAATCAACAGCAATTCGACGCGGTATTATGTGATCGCAGCATATGCATTCTTGCATCACAATGTTTCATGGCTATGACAGATTTTCTAACCTAAATAGTCGTCAACTTTAACGATTAAATCTCATTTCGCGGGACTAGGTACAATATTTAACTACCAGATTCTTTCATTTTATGTAAAAAAATCATCAAATGAGCATAATTGAAGGTGAGAAGCCTTTTGGATAATTACCTAATAATTTATCTCTGTATCACCACGTTGTTATTCCGCCAGTTTAAAGTAGTTCAAAATTTAAAGTAGTTAATTAATAGAAAAAGGGAGGGAGAGGGGCGGGGAGGGTAAGATTGGTTGAGGAAGAATATATTTATTTATTTTTTAATTTTATTACGTTGAAACGTGAACCACCAATACCCATGTAGCGTAATGAGTGCATCGCAGACTTTGCGTAATCAATCATAAATCGTTATTTCATAAAGGTTACAATTACATTAAGACTAATTTTATATCTTTAATTATTATTTTCAATGAGAAATGCATTTAATTTTGTACTTAGATATATAATAAAAAATAAAGGACAAATATAATATCAAAATCATTTATGGACTTACTGTTGATTCCGCTTACACTCATTGTGCTCCATGGAGAGAAATTCATAACGAAAACTGTAGAACGCTCGTGATTGATTCTGCTTTCGTTCCGCTATTCCGCTGCATGCACCCTCAGAGTGGCCATAAGAAGGAATAAGAAATTATGAATAAAGAATAAACGATTTTAATTTATCAGAAATCGAATACATTGAAATATACGGTTTCTGATAAATTAAAATCATTTATTCTTTATTCCTAATTCTTTATGGTTTCTGCGGAAACGCTTGCTGCGCGGCAAAATGATACGGTAGCCAATAAATTTACAGCCTAATGTGTTCATTGATTGCCGCGTCTCATTTTGCCGCGCGGCAAACGTTTCCAATGTGCAGGAGCCATTATTCCTTCTATTGTGTGCAGAGCCTAAGGATTTCGTCAAAATTTTCCAAACGATAAAGTAATATAGGCTATGTCACTCTTCCATCAATGGCGATGGATATTACTTGCCGAGCGAATGAAAATGATTCTTACCTATGGATTTAACCTATTATATCTAATTGCTTTGACAAGCAGATCTCGATTGCGAGTCTCAATGCGAGTATCTAAGGTCACATTTCCATGTTCTATGGCCACCTGCGTTTTTTAGTAGTTCTCGTTACAGTAAAGTGCAGAAAATTTTAGATCTACTTTCTTAAAATAAGTAAAACGGAATTATCGTATTTTTATGATTCCATTCTTTAAATCATACATCATATAAAGAAAACTTAAAAATCATTGGCAACACTGTGTCACGCAAGAAATCAGAAATTGTTGGCATTGTATAGGTATTGTAGAAAATTACAAGCTTCACAGTCGGTACCATAGAAATTTACAAACTTCGTAGTCGACAATAAAAAAGTCTGCGGCACATAATGCAAATTTTCCTACCAGATTGCTTGCATTTTAGTAAATTATTAGAAATACATCGTTTTGTGTGAATTTAAGTAATTTACTAAAACAATCCAGCTCAAAAAATACATCGTGCGCCACTGACTTAATATTTTCCAAATCACACCCACGTACAATAAGTCAGTTCAATAATATCAATTTTTTGCATTTTTCTTACACTAATAATAATAAGTTATAAAAAAAAAAATTCAAGTTCGCAAAACACATTTTATAAAATATGGCATAGAATTACTGCTTCGCCCTTTATCATTAATAATTAATTCAATGCTGTAATTCAGATAAACGAGAAAAATTTAATTGTTCATTTTGTCGACGAGCCAGCCACTGCCGGGTGGCTTTCTTGTATATAGCCGGGGAAGCGGCATTGTCGCATTCGTCAGAAAATCGATGGCGCGCGGTCGGTCTGCCCGCCATTGTGCGCAGCGCCCGGCGTGTTCAATGGTATTCCTACGCGTCGACCGCGTCGCATGTTATCCGCGGTAACCATCTAGATCTCATATCGCATATTTGACGATTTCGTCGCGTGTGACATATAAATCATTAGGAATTCTTTATCTTTCGAATTTATCTTTTAGAAAATACAAATACGTCTCGTGCGTTTTTCACTGAAAATTCGAGTCATCGTATCGGACTCGCCAAAGGAATTTTCCAGACGTTGTGGCGCGGCTGTGCTTAACTTCCGGTGGCGCCAGTGGCGACCGCCGTCAAAGAGAACCGAGAAGAACGGAGAGAAAGAGGTGCGGTGTTGCGTGACTGGGTGCGAGCGATCGTGGCGCGTGTGTGTTTGTTGTGTTGTTAAGCATAAACGAGTTTTACAAGATTCTCCGCGTCCTCCGCCTTTTCAAGTAATACGCGAACATAAGCGGACAAAACTAGGAAAAACGAACCGGGTGCGGAGTAATCGAGAGAAGCGAGGAAGAAAGAGTGAGAGCAAGAGAGCGAGAAAGAGAGAGAAAGAGAGCGAGAGAGAGAGAGAGAGAGAGAGAGAGAGAGAGTGAGTGAGTGAGTGAAGAAGAGAGCGAGGGTGACCAGCGGGGAAAACAGCAGTATCGCCGTTCGATTGATAAAGGGATCAGCTTTGTGACGAACAGAAGCCATACGATGTCGTCCTACATTCAGGTCGCCGAGGATGAGGGTGAGGAGCCGATCGAGCTGCCGACCGAGGACGATACCACGCTCTTGCTCACCACCCTATCCGCCCAGTTTCCCGGCACCTGCGGCCTCAAATACCGCAATCCGGAGTCCCGTACGATGCGTGGCGTCCGACTGGTCGATGGCCGTCTACATCCGCCCGAAAATGGCTGGGGCAAGGCGATTTACTTCTGCGTATTCCCTAAAGGTACAAAATTACGCGTACGTACACGCGCGTACCTCTCCCCTCCCCTCCCTTCCCCATCCCCGCGGTATTTATAACACGGCGGCGCTGTGCTCGTGGCGTCAACGTCGAGACGAAACCAATCGTGGGATCAGTGGATTACGGCGATGATGCTTTCGCAGCTATGGGCGGGAGAGAATCAGGATACTGTACACAAATCTCTTGAGACTCTTTCTGAATCATATCCGCCGTGACGACTTGCGACTTCAACTCCTGGAGCAGTTGGTTGATAGGAACAACTTTAATCAAATTCCTTTATTTAAATAATTATAATATTAATGTCCGTTTCTATAAATGTAAATAACTTTAATCTCGGTCCAACTAATTCTTCGTCTTTTATTAATTTTAAAAATTGGAAAAAAATGAAGAGTAAGTGAAACAAGATTCAAGAAGAAGCAAGATTAAAATTAATCTATATAGATATAAGAAATGAATATTCTAAATTTTAATAAATATTTATTTGAATAGTGTCAACTAAACATTACTTACAATAAATAAATTAAATATGGTTTTTGTATCAAATAAATATGTCTTTATATTAATAAATATTTGACACTTTTCAAACAAATGATTTTATTAAAATGAATTTATTAAAATGTATTTTTTTTTCCAGTAAAGTAGGAATTGTCAAAGCAGATCTTGCTTATACAGAAAAATATATACTGTACACAAATAATAATTACTTATTTCAAATATTTTAAAAGTTTTATATATCTGCAAATCTATCTTAAGGTCATCACAAGCATCAAATTTAAATAAAATATATTCTAAATATCTATATTCTAAATCCTAATAAGTTTCAATTTTAAGATTATTAAATTAAAATTCGACTTATTATTATATAAAGTCGCTTCTTCGATAAACTGTAATATTTTTTAAATGAAAATAAACTCTTGTTTCGG